TTTTCATTTGATCGTCTGTTACATCTGTGGTGATTGTTAGACCTGCTGGTGTTTCAGGGACTCTACATTTCTCTGTTTTGAAAAAGAGAATCTGTTTTATTGTGAGGTTTACATTATAAACATGAAACCAAATCAGATTCAAAGTAATAAGACACTTTCTCACTACATTTTCAAACTAAGCAAGTTTTCCCTTTAAATATTTATTATTAATAGGCATTCAGTTTCTCATTGCTGTAATTAAGAAGTAATAAATGTCCAGTCTTTTAAGAAGTCAGAAAAGAATGGCAATTCTACCGTTAACCAAGTGTAGAGAAAAAAAGATGAATAAAGATGAAATATGTCAGCAGGCAGAATGACAGCCAGCAGTGTTTTTAACTTGACTCCAGTTTTAAATCTTATTCACAGCAATAGTTTATTTTAGCTGAGTTGACGAATAACTGTTCTATTGCTGGGAAGTATATGTTAACACACACTGAATGATCCAGATGAACAAACTTCCAAAACATCTGTGTTTATAGCAGTGCTAATGATTGCTGACGATCTGTTTAATGTAGTGAATTTAATTAGCAGCACCTGGCAGAAAAATACAACCTTAATTCCTATAAAAGTTCTTCACACTTGAGTCTTCTAATGTGGACAATAGTTGCCCATTATTTCCTTTAAGCAGGGCAGACTGATCAACAGTGAATGAAATGATATCTCGGCAGAGAAAATTCCCTATTGTTGACAGATATTGATAACCACAGCTATCAGTCATTGGATATCATTCGAAACTGATAGTTTTGAACAAAAACCCGATATTCTAATTTCATTCTAGTTTCAGTGTGCATTTTTGCCTTAGACAACTAAGCTTTCAAATCCCCTTGTTAATTTTAGATTAAAATGGTATCAAGCTTCAATCATTTACATTAAACCTCAACAAATCTCCTTTAGCTACAGCATAACAGGGAGAACAAAACTAGCAAATATATATTTTAAACTGGCACCTTAAACTGGTGGGTACTTAAGGGACTGAACATTTCTGTGTTTTGAAGAAGAGAATCTGTTTTACTATGAGATTTACAGTATGAACAAGAAACCAAATGTGATGCAAATATCTGAATAAATCAGCATTACATTTTCAATATATAAAAAAAACTTGAAAGTAAAAGATTTCAGTATAAAAAATACGTTCATGAAGAGACATTTTCCAAATAGACAGGTGTCTCTTTCTTAAAATGATTAGGAAAGATTAAAAAGATGAAAACTGGAAAATGTATCCAGTTCAGTAATATTTATGTGATGCTAGTTCACAACAGCCGTTATCTCAAGAACCTACAATATTAGACATAAACAGCAGATCAAAAATATAGGATTAGGATTAGAATACTTCCTATGATGACTTTGACCTTACAGGGTTCATCAGGATCATTATATTAATGATTTATGTGATACAAGGGCAACAACACAACTGCTACAGAATGCTGATGTTTTCCTGCAATACAAAATTGCTCCTAACAGCAACTTAAAACAGAAACCCTTATCATAGTCACAGCTCATTTCTGTTACCTCACGTTATTGTGGTAATAAAAGTACACATACCAGAGCAAGTAGGAAAGGGGGAATTCCATTGTTCATTTTCTAAACACTCAATTTCTGTAGACCCAATTAGTACACCTGTGTTGCTGCAAAGAAAACGCAATTTATGTCCAGTCGCCATTATTTCATTTGATGGTGGTAATCCAGCTACGTAGAGATGAGGATCCATAACACCGATTTTACAAGATCGATCTGAAAAAAGCAAAATATGTAGAATATATGTGAGTTTATGTAACAAAGCTGCAAAGAGCAAGAAAGAGAGTAGTTGGTTTTAGTGAACACCAGAAGAGCGGAAAAAATCATGAAATCTTATTGGATATTTAAATTATGCTTCAAAATACACAAAGATCAAACCTGAACAGAAGAAAAAAAACAGTTCAAAAGGCAAGATTCAGATGTAGAAATCACTGGCCAGAATCTTTATATTTGCTGCAGTTTTTATATTTGCCAGATCATGTCAGAATCCATTTTGCCAGGTTTCAACCTGTGTGTCTGTATTTGTGCTGGAGACACGAAGGTTCAGACCAGTGGAGATAAACCACTGTCAAAACTACAGCTGTGGTCAAAAGTTTTACAATCATCACGGATCAACATGGATATCATTGTAATTTTGGGCTTTGAATGATTGTTGAAATCCTGTTTTTAAGTGTGGAATGACTGATTTAACATTGAGCACTCAATTTTTTTTTTTTTAAAGATGTATGACATGCAATCATTCCACCCTGGAATGGAAAACGTTTATCTAATTTCCAGGCAAATAGTTTCAAAATATCTGCCCTTTGCAAACTGTTTACAAGGACAACCTGTGTAAGCAAACCATCTGCTGTGTCAGTTTAACACGCTAAGATTTAATTCATTAACCCTATAAGTTTCCTTATGTAGGGTGGCTAACTTTAACTCTAGCCTATATTTTGGTGAAAGAAAAAATACAATGCTTCTGGAAAAAATGTGAATAGTTTTTGACCTGTCATTAAGTCTGACTTTTCTGTCACAGTCTGGCTGAGGCAGACTGTATGTGTTGTGAAAAAGGACTCAAGTGCAAACCAAAAACTATGAAACGTGATGTGGATTAACAAAAAACAAGCAGTTTATTAAGGCTGGCAAAATAAATACAAACAAAGGGCATGGGTGAAACTAAACAATAACCTAAACTGGGTGAACTAAAAATTAAACATGAAAAAACCTTAAACATGGAGAACTGACATGATACCTAAAGACATGGTGTGGACGAGCAGACGACCTGAAGGAATGACTGAAAACACATGGCACAAATAATTTGTGTGCTTTCTTATTTGTTGCAGATCACCTGATTGTTCTGTAAATAGATTTAAACGGTTATATGCCTGAGGCATTGGCTGCATTTTTAGGTAAATAGTACCATATAACTTTCTTTGCAAAACTTGTGCATAATATTTAGAAATGTACAATTTCTATTTGCATTTCAAGTTATGAAAATGATTCGTTAAACATGTTTGTGGGTTTTACAGTAAAAAATATAACTTTTTTCTACTCGGATTTTGAATTTTTTCTCTGAATTTAGATCAACTATGGTAATATAGTATGCCAAAATGAAAAAATAACTCAAATTTCAGATATTTCAGGTTGTGCTGAAAATAATGATACCAAACAAGTAGTCAAATATGGCCAATTATACCCTGGACCCCAGAGGGTTAAACTGATCTTTCTGACATCGAGATGCTGGGTCATATTTCATAATGACTTGACAGAAACATTGTTGAATAAAATGATGACTGATGTGAATTCAAATATATTTGGAGTCTGATCTGACATGACAAAGTCTCTACATATTAAAAATCATTTAGAATTAAATTCTGATTTTGTCTGTGTGCAGGAAAAATATATATAGAAATAAAGACCGTCATAGCAGTCTTAATGAAGGCAGGACACATCTGAGTAAATGAGATTATATGTCCAAGGAGATAATACCAAATGAAGTTCATACGTAAGTTCGTTAAGAACAATCTGTAGTCACACATTTCTGCTTCCCTGGTGTTTGTTGGCTAATCTAAGCTTTACATCATTTCCAGTTTCCCATGCTGTGAAGCTAATTGTGCAATCACTGGTCTAGCCCAATCAGATTTCTGCTGGCTGTCTTCCGGCCAATCAGTCTCCACTCCATGTACTTTAAATCTCACTGCTCATCGGTCATTCTCCCAGGCTTCCATTCAAGCCTCAATCTTCATTTCCAGAGTGTAATCACCAACAACCTAAATTGAATTCTATAGATCAATAAATTATGTTAAATTCATTTTAATGATCTCTGCTTATTGAACTGTAGTCATTCACATGAGAGTGAGAGAAGAAAAGAAAGCTTTTGAACTCACGGTAGCACGACCCCCTTTGGAGTGGCTGCCAGCCCTCAGTTGTACATACGTATTTGATGGTGAGAGCTGATGTATAGCCAGGTTCGCAAGCAAAATGTATCATGTGTCCTGCTTGATACTGAGATGTTCTTGTCTCTTGTGTTACTTGGGCATGGGGAACATCTGGAAGCGTTGAACATGCTAATACACAAAACAATATAAAATGGGAAAAGAAGAGAAAAATACACAAAGATTGAAAACATACTGAGTGACTAAGCCAAGATATATATGTATGTATAAGGAAATGACGACCCATCATTGCTACGAACGATAGTAATGCCAGTAATGTGCAGTTGTTTTAGGACAGGGGTCTTTTGTCTTTATACTGCGGCTCCAGGTGGTTTGGGAAAATAAATTAGAAGTATTTAGCTGAAGTGTATTTTTTGTATTAGTTCTTTTTAAACTTGTAGTTCTAAATTGGAAGATTATTGTGACATTGAAATATAAAAATAAAATTATATTTTATTTTTCATCGCTCAAAATAAGCGTCACACTTGCGGAAGCCGGTGTACCAGCCAAAACGCAGTGCATTTATTGAGACTTTCAACCCCAGGTGGGCCAATTATGGATCTTCGGATCCACATTATGTCAGCAGCTGTTCTCCTCCGTGAACTATGTTAAAACAAACACTGCTCACGCCTCACAGATGACAGCTTACAGTCCTGCGTTAGGATGAAAGTGACTTCGTAGAGCCCTGATTTGCAGACGCTGTGCGCAGAGGTTCAGGAGCAGAAGTCTCATTGTAAACATATCACGGCAGACACGACGATGTTTGCATGAACATGCTTTTCAGCATCTCTTTATTGACCACTCTTCACACACGGTTGCTGTACGCATACAGCCGGCTGTAGCTTTTCAGCTAGCAGTCCGACAACACAAGAGCAGAGAGAGCACAGACTTTAAGTAGACGAGGCGTGATTGCGGGTGCTGCTCAGGTGCATCCGACTCCCATGCAGCGCCGCTGCAGACCACGCCCCGCCACACACATTAACCAGGTAAAATACATATTTAGGCAGAATTTTGCAAATATCTATTTTTCATTTTTTAGCAGCATAGTGCTGTATATATTGTAAAAAAACAATATATACAGTGTTATTTTCATTTTTGATGTCAACAAGTATTTGTGGCTCCCAGTGTTTTCTTTTGCGTGGAAACTGGGTCCAAGTGGCTCTTTGGGTGTTAAAGGTTGCTGACCCCTGTTTTAGGACAAGGGTTGTTGAGGCTGGCTGAGCTCTGCTGGCCATCACCAAATTTGAGCAGAGGAACATGGGTAATCATGCTTTGGAACAATCTTTCTGATGTGATACTTTTTTTACTTTTATAACCAGGCCTATTGTGTGCCTCCAGAAAATGTACCTATTTAGCTCTAAACCCAACGCCTTACCTGACCTGTAATGGGTCGATCCTATGAAAATCCATATAATGCTGCTCTTGGTATGCTTTACAACTTTTTGTGTTTCATTTTTTCAGCTTTTCACGTGACATTTTTTGGGGGTACATAGCATGTAGTATGGTTGGGTTAGAGTAAGAGTCAGGGTAATGCTGTCATTAATGAACCCTAACAAAAACAAAATATGCACTCTGTAATATAAATAATTGAGGTATTCATACACTTTTCATGACTGTAGAGTTTTTGACGATTTAGTAATATAAGAAAAACAAAAACAAAACATATTTACATGAGTTATTACATCCACAGTGCAGCAATAGCACAAGTTTAGTTAGTGATGATAAAAACATGAAGCCATGCAACTTACAGTAGCACTTTCCCTGATGGACAACCAGCCAACCATCAGCTGTGCATATAAATTTCGAGATCTGATCTGATATGTAACCAGATTCACAAGAAAAATGTATCACATCTCCTTCCTGGTACACAACTTTGCTGGTTCCTTCTGACACATGAGCGTGAGGAACATTTGGGAGCTCTGAACACTCTAAAAGAGAAAAAGTTACAATTCGTCACATATAAAGTTGTTAAAAAAGAATGACTGAAGCTCTACAAGGAAAACAGTTACAAAATCAAAGTATGTCTACAACCATTCTCCTAAATGGTTAAGACCACAAAACAGTTGCATCTACATAATTTGTGGATATACTTCACCTAATAACACAGATAGCAGGATTTATGTTTGACATACATAATTAAAGAGTAATATAAGAAATGTACCATTAATTACCATTAATGGTAAAGGGAAAAAATAAGTATAAGTATAAAATTACTAGAGCCCCCCCCCCCCTTCAAAGAAAACCCCCAAAATAAAACAAAAACAAGCAAAAAACCCATAGCAAGTAGTAAAATCAACTATAATTACTATTTTGTCCTACATTATATTACTACCATATATATGTATGTTAACACAAAAATATACATATTTTAGGGTTGTGTGAATGCATGTAAATTCAAATAGTTGTAATAGTGTAAAAATAAGACAACTACATTCATACTGTGCTTTTCCCCCTGCTGTAAGTAAATACCTGTGATGACCACACGCAGTGTATATGTCACTCTTCTTAAAGTCTAACTGCCTTTCCACAAAGGTAAAACATGTGATTTTAGGTACACTGAAAAACGATAATAGATCACTTTACCGTTTTGTGACAAAGAAACTTCCACACACCCCCACAGCTGGAGAAACAGAAGGATTAAATACAGCTTCATGTTCTTTTGACGAATGTTTTCTGAGGAGAATTTCAGTAGCTTCATTGTTCAGTGACCTCCCCCAGCTCGAACTCCACCCAGAGAGATCAGGTCACAGCACAGACTGTCCAGTGGCTCTGTCCAAATGTCTCTATTTAAATACAACCTTGGACTCCTGTTGTACAAGTGCTACGGAGAAGGACTGGATAGGTGGTTAGGTGTACAAAGCACAGGACTTTCAAATGTACTTTGCTAGCGTTTAGAAAGAATTTTCTGAAAAAGAGAAGATATCCAGTGATGCGCAGTTTTCTTGCTGAAAGAGCCTCGCTGATGCCAGGGGTTAAGGGAGAATGGCCAGAATGCATCGAGTTGGTGGGAAGGCAAAAGTAACTCAACTTAAATGATAAGTGGATGCTGGACTCCAGGCCTAAAAAGACTGTGGAAAAGGGGTTGTTTCATTGTTAGGCCATGAAACCCAAAGCCCCAAGACTTACAACAGAGTTAAACTTATGTAAGAATTAAAACAGACCCCGTGATGCTTTTATTAAAATAACATTACATGCAATTACTGTTACATGTGTGTACATGTGTGTGCTCATCTAGGTTACAAAAACACTTTAATAGCAGGTATGATCTCCTGCCAAAGGGAGGGAGTTTGTTATTTTATTTATTTTTTACTTCTTTTTGTTATCTTTATTTAATCAGAATATGTTCAGACTGGAAAGATAGGGCCACCATTTTGTGTATTTGTCCACAAAGGATTTATGAATGACTTTGATTTTACACACAAAAAAAAAGATGTACTGGAAGAGCACAGACTGAGTACATAGGCTTTTATTAAAATGACCACACACATCAGTGCACTAATCATTTATAGATTTGCGTGCTCATGCTCATCGTATCCAATAGACAGAAATGTTACTGGCATGTGGGCAGATGCATTACGCCTTCAATGCACGTCTGACGCATTTCCAAACTGCCAACACGTCTTCCCCTGCTACATATGAACTCAATTACATCATTATGTTCTGAATACAGCTTATCATCGCTGACATATCTGAATTGAATATTGTGTTTGTTCATGTCTTCTCTATTTACAGTGCAGGGTTCTGTAAGAGTTAAGAGAAAAGATTTTGTTAATGTCAGTACAGTACACCAATGCAGGAATGCACAACATACATCATATATAACTATTCAAGTCTTGATTACAAAGGCACAGTGCTTAAAACCAAGCAAGTCTGATAAAATGCAATCTGTATCTGTATCAAAACTCCAGATATAGTACAGACCTCACACAATATCAAATTATGAAAGTCTAATGTTAAATTGTCTTAATTTTCCCATTTTTTTAAATAACATAAAACAGAGCGCATCTAAGAACATGAAGCCCCCAAATTCTGCATCCTTTCTCAAATAAATTATGTCAACAGCTTGAAAGGCTAATTCCTGTGTAAACTCAATTTTCTCTAAATTTAAGAGTAAAAAAAACTTGGGACCCCTAAAATACTTTTACATATGCAGAATCTTAGAAAATACAACATAATATAGCTATAACTTACTGAGGCATCTCATCTGTCCAGTCCATTTACCATTTTCACAGGTTTTATATGGTGTACCTTCCATTTTGTAGTAATTTTGACAGATATACTCAACCCTTTCTCCATGGCTGTATTGCCTTTTAGTACTGATTTTGGTATCTCCATCTGAGAGTGGTTGTGGTTTCCCACAACCCACAGGATCTTAAATGAATATAGACAAAAAACAAACAAAAAACTATTATCTATTCACAATACTATTAGTACCATTATGCAACATCTTACAGTAAATTTTTGTGTAAATTTTTTAGAGATTCAACTCTCCAAATTACTGGGGGTTTATTCCGACTTCTCTTTTTTATATTTACAGCTGTTATTAACATGAGCAGCTTATCTGGGCGCTTATTACTGACTGGGCTTCGCATATGTACATGACATTTCCTACACAGTGATTGTAATTAGGATCAACCGCAAGACTTGTCCAAAAAAAATTCCTGTGTAATTTTTGCCTGAGTAAAAGTAACCGTAACTGTTTTGGGGATTAAAAAATGTGATTAAAGCCTCCTGAAATTGCAGTGCACTGTGACTGGATGATCTTTTCTTGTCACATATTACGGGTGAGTTGACATAGAAAAAAACTGGCTTACCTCCACATGTTGGAAACGGATCGCTCCACTGTCCATTTGCCAAACATTCAACTGTTTTATTGCCTTGCATAAAGTGGTTACGTGTAAGGCAAGTAAAGGTTAGCTTTTGTCCTTTCTTTAGCCGATTGCCTTGTATGTGTGATGTGATTCTTACACTGTCTGATTTTCTTGTGACTTTGCATTCATCTGTTTTAAAGAAGACAGTCTTTTAATCTTTCAGTTTAAAGTGTAATGCAGCAGTAGTCTAGACCCAAAGGAACCAAATAAAATGTAAATCTTAATCGTTATATAAGTTTAACAAATGAAATATAATGATTACATAATTGTTACACAAATATATGGACATTTAAAAAACATGTCAAGTCACGTCAGCTTTTCTCAGTTAAAGTAAACCTACCAGAGCAGGATGGAAAGGAAGCATTCCAGTACCCAGTTTCTAAACACTCGATTACTTCAGAACCTTCCAGTTTATACTGATCAGCACAACGAAAATGTAATGTGTCCCCAGTCCTTATCGCTTCATTCCCTTGTGGTAATCCAGTTACCTGCAGATTAGGGTCCATTACTCCAACTGCACAAGGGATTCCTGAAAACAATAAGTAAAAGTCATTATTGCGATTGTAGACATAATAAAGTTTTTTATTATGCCCTGTGAATGCTACTATTAAACATGGAGAAGCTTATTTAAAGATAACCAAACATGCATTTTGAAAGTTAAACACGAGCAAGGATACTTCCTTTATACTATTTTTATAGTTTTGCACATAGCGGCTGCAAAATGGCTCCATAGTGCTCCCCTCTGAATTGCAAGAAAGCAGAATGCAAAGAATGGACTATGCAGAAATATAAAGAGATCTACATCTTACTGAGGCATCTCATCTCTCCAGTCCATTGACCATTTACACAGGTTTTGTACGGCCCACCCTCCATTCTGTAGTAATCCTGGCAGATGTACTCAACCCTTTCACTATGACTGTACTGCAGTCTGGAACTTTCCTTCGGGTCTCCATTTGAAAGATGTGGTGGTTTCTCACAACCCTCGGCAGCTACAAATATGGGCAACAAAAATAGAAGTTTAAAAATGTTTTCATCACAATAATCCCATTTCACCATGAGTGACACATCACTGACCTTGATCAATTAAATTAAATTAATTACGTTTTATTCATATACCAAGAATTCATAAAAAATGTTTTTGCAAGATGCTTCATAATGTAAGGTGAAGACGCAAGAGCACAAAAAGATAAGGAAAGATAAATAAACTATATGAGAAAGAAGCAAGTCACAAATAAATAGAGGGGAGTGAAGAAGAAGTGCTAAAAGTATGAACCTCTAGTAGCATAACCTGAATGCCTGATAACAGCAAAAAGATGTACTGAGGTACTGGACTGTAAGTATATGTTCATGAGTTCAAGGTTCATGTAAGAAAAAAGCCGAAAGGTGTAATAGGTGTCCTAAGTCAGTGTTTCCCAACCTTTGGGAGCCACGGAACATATTTCACATTCGAAAAAACATCACCAAACAAAAATGCCACAAAAGTATATTGATAATTTTTACTTGCACACCAAGCATAGCAGAATTGGTTTGATCTGCTCCCAGTATACCCTTTTTGCTTTCTTCTGACCACTACTCATGCTAGGGCCTCCATCTGAGTCAGAATTTTCCCCAGGACCAGGTCAGACTGATTACTTTTTCTTTTCAAATATTTATCTGTTGCTATTACGTGCTCCATTGTTTTACAGCATGAGTATTATGTAATTTCTTCTTTGTCTTCTTCTGTTTTAATGGCAGTTGGCAACCCATTTAATTAGAGCAGGTAGTTGTACTACCCTCTATTGGAAGAGAATGAAATTGTTCTGCCCATTACACCGATCGCTTAGAGTACTAATCAGGTGGAATTAGATAATCTTCCATGGCACACTTGATCATTGCTCACAGCACACCTATGTGCTGCGACACAGTGGTTGGTAAACACTGTCCTAAGTGACTGGTTGGGTTATATACAAGCACCAGTTCTTGCTTTATATGTCATGTGATACCATCGCAGGTGCAATATGGATCCACAGGAATTGGTACAAATCTTGAGCAATATATATTTAAAATGTAGTACACAGGGTATATACAGCAAGCTCATTTCTCATACCTAACAGGACGACTGAAATTTTCACATTTTTCGAGTGTAAGCAGAGGACCTTATAAATATACACTGTTAAGCTAGTTCAAACTACAAATGTCGATAAAAGTAACATTGCTGGTGTGTTGACTGAAAGACTTACTTTCACATACTGGCACAGTACTACTCCATCCGTCCAACTGACAAGTTCGGGTGCCATCGCTATCTCCCATTGTATACCTGCAATTACAACTCATATCTCATTTTGTATTTTCACCCACACACTAAAATTTATAGAGTACTTGAGCAATCATTTTGCTTCCAAGTAACCATTTTAAGTGGTCTTGAGATTGGACATCAGTGATTGGACACTGAATTATTTTTAGGTTTTCCCTTGTACCTAAACCACTTAACACTGTTGATCATCTGCTGTTCACTTAAGCCTCATCGGAAAAGACCTGAGTGGAAGTGTGGCCATTCTTCAGGAAGGGAAACTGGGAGAAAAGACTGAGGTATGTCAACCTAACACAAGAAGTACAGCAAAAATCAGCAGAAACAGATCTTGGAACTCACTTTCACAGTGAGTTCTAAATTTATGTTTAAACATTTTTAAAAATAAGCCTGAACTCTCTTATGCAAGCTTTCTTGTAATTTCTTTAATGCAGTCTTAGGAATAATGTAGTTAATGTAGTCTGCCAGGCTTCTTCAAAGCTCCTTTGAATAACGGCTTCCTTTTATCCCATTCTTGTTGACATTTTTCCAAACAGCATTGTTGTACGGGACTTTTGTCTTAAAACAACTTGAAGAGTTTCTGTTTTAACACACAAATATAAGCAATCCTCATGGGACTTTCAGAGCGCGTACATTATGTCACTGAATTATTATAGATCCACATACCCTAGATTGCAAAAGTATTTGATAGCTGTTCCAAAAACGAGCTCTTCTCCGCGGATAATTTCATAATAGCCATTGGGAACGTCCTCAGGGAGTTCACATGGCTTTACTGAAAAAAAAGAAAAGAGAATATTTTTCATGAGTAAGTATGAATTAGACCTTATTCTTCTCTTATTATTGCTTATTTTTAATTGAAATCAGGTGCTTGCCGACAGTGACATAAATTTTTTACAAAACTCATTGTTAATAACAGTGTTGAAGTGTGGGTACAATGTTATTGATGCAGGGATTTGAGGAAGCGATTTGCTATTTTCATACAATAGATTACTGTTAGCAGCATACTGCAGCAGTTTTACAACTGTCTCAGTACAACTCTTTCTAATTCCAAAAAACTAAAGTTTTGGGATAAAACTTTGGTAATTGATATTTTGTGAAATGTTATGAATTGCATCTTAGAAGGGATTAAGGATTATTTGTAACCCTATAAATACAGTCATAAGAGTAACAGCAAAATAGCAGGCAAACCATTTAACTTACAGTTGCATTTTCCCTGACGGAAACTCTCCCAGCCAGTATTTGTGCATATATATCTGAGGGTTGGACCAGATATATAACCAGTCTCGCATGTGAAATGTATCACATCTCCTTCGCGGTACTCAACTTTTTTAGTATTTTCTGACACATAGGAGTGAGGAACATTTGGAAGCCTTGAACATACTGAAAAAAACAACATGGAAAGAGACATATACATAGATTGACCAAGGATTCCAAAATTACATCTACATTTATATGTAAAGAGATAGTAGAACAAATAAAAAAGAGGGTAAGTAGAAGTAGAAGAAATGTCTTCTCTTTTAAACTAAACAAAGAACACAGCATTTTAAAAAGTCTGACTTACCGTTTTCTGAGAAAGAAAGTTCCACATGTCCCCATAGATGGAGAAACAGAAGGATTAATGACAGTCGCATTCTGTCAAGTGGACTGCAAACCAAATTTTCACTGTGCACAAATCCTTTGACAAACTGTGCGTTTTCTGTGCAGAACTGCTGTGTGTTTATCACAGTATTTGAGGCCAATGGTTAAAATATGGACTTCCCTACTGGAATTGCACAAGCCTCAAAATGACATATCGCAAACAACAAGTTTCACTGAACACGCCAGAGGAGTTCACAGACAACAATTCACAAACCTCACCCTATAATAATTTATAGACTTTATAGAGTTGATTTCTTTCATTGCCTATAAAATAATTTATAACATTCTACAAAAGAAGGTTTGTGTCCTCTTTCAAACATCATATAAATTAATCCGTCTATTTTTGTAATTAAATTAAAATATGAGATTAATTAGTCCTGAAAATATAGACTGGTGTATGATGCTCAAAACAAGTTTGCAAAATATAACAGATGTTATATCTTATTTTGTGATAGAATGATTAGTGTTCGCTGAAAAGGTTACTGTGCAGTTTAATCACCACGACTAGTAAGTCATAAATGGAGATGGTACTGAGGTACAAAGTCCATTGTAAAAGTCAGCCAGATATTCAGGTCGGTAAATAGTTTTAAAGAAGTTGTTGTTTAAGAGAACATCTTTAAATTCAAACATAACCAATATCTATGCCCAGGGGTCAGCAACCTGCGGCTCTTTAGTCCTTATAGTGCGGCTCCGCGTGGTTTGGGAAAATAAATTAGAAGTATTTAGCTGAAGTGTAATTTATTTATGTTAGTTCTTTTTTAACTTGTAGTTCTAAATTGGAAGATTATTGTGATATTGAAATATACAAATAAAATTATATTTTATTATTTTTTCATCGCTCAAAATAAGTGTCACACTCCAGGAGACCGGTATACCTGCCAAAACGCCATGCATTTATCGAGACTTTCAACCCCAGGTAGGCCAATTATGGATCTTCGGATCCTCATTATGTCAGCAGCTGTTCTCCTCCGTGAACGATGTTAAAAACAAACACCGCTCACGCCTCACAGATGACAGCTTACAGTCCTGCGTAAAGATGAAAGTGACTTCGTACAGCATTTGCAGACGCTGTGCGCAGAGGTTCAGGAGCAGAAGTTCCATTGTAAACATACCACAGCAGACCCAACGATGTTTCCGTGAACATGCTTTTCAGCATCTCTTTATTGATCACTTTTCACACACGGTTGCTGTACGCATACAGCCGGCTGTAGCTTTTCAGCTCACAACCCAACACATACCAACACAAGAGCATAGATAGCACAGACATTAAGGCGGTGAGGCGTGATTGCTGGTGCCTCTCAGATGCTTCCGCCTCCCCTGCAGCGGCGCTGCAGACCACGCCTCGCCACACACATTAACCAGGTAACATACATAATTAGGCAGAATTTTGCAAATATCTAGTTTTCATCTTTCAGCAGCATAGTGCTTTTTGTCCAATTATTTTTTAAAAGCCAGGTCAAGGCTCCAAAAGCTCAAAGGCGACATAAGGGTGGCGGCACACAACAGTTTTTGTTTGCTACATGGGTCATCTTAGTTCAGGTTGGTGTCTTTCCTTTTGTAATATTTCTTTAAGAGTTCAAAATGTGTTAATTACATAAATGTAATTTTCTCTGTAGCAGCTTAGTTGTTCACACAAAGCATAAAAGTAAAAAACAATATATACAGTGTTATCTTAATTTTAGATGTCAAAAAGTATTTGCGGCTCCCAGTGTTTTCTTTTGCATGGAAACCGGGTCCAAATGGCTCTTTGGTTGTTAAAGGTTGCTGACTCCTGTCTCTTTTAGAGAAATTTTCAACCAAGATGAAACTTAGTTTTGAAAATTTGAAAGAACTTTTGTCATATTTGAATTTTTAGGAACAAAACACAGGACATTATATATCTTCAGCCTCTGCTTGTTGTTCACCTTTACCATATGATTTTCAATGACTCCGTGTAATGAATACATGG